CTATATAATTTCTCCCTTTTTCAATATGGTAAATATTACAATATATTATAAGACTTGAAGACAGACCACCTTATTCGTCTTCGTGACGAATTAAATTTCTAGTTATTATTATTGTCATCAACATTCATTCATTTCATTTCATCTACATTATTTCATGAAATGCATTCAGAAAATGAAGAAAAAAAACAACGAAAATAACCCGTGAAAAAAAATATTGTCGGCGAAGCTTTGTCGTAGTACTAGTAGCATTTGTATTTTATGGGACACTTTTTGGGCGGAACAATTGTCGGCGGAGCAAATGTCACCGGAGCAAGTGTCGCTTCAGGCGGAGCAAATGTCGGCGGAGCAACTGTTGGCGGAGCAATTGTCGGCGGAGCAAATGTCACTGGAGCAATTGTCGCGTTTTGCGGAGCAATTGTCGGAGGAGCAATTGTCGGCGGAGCAAATGTCGGCGGAGCAATTGTCGGCGGAGCAATTGTCGGCGGAGCAAATGTCGGCGGAGCATATGTCGGCGGAGCATATGTAGGCGGAGCAAATGTCGGCGGAGCAATTGTCGGCGGAGCAAATGTCGCGGAGCAATTGTTGCGTTTTGCGGAGTAAATGTCGGCGGAGCAATCGTCGGCGGAGCATGTGTTGGGTTACCACTTGCACATAATACTCCTGGCAAGGAAGAAGTATTGATGGAAAAGGGAAGGCAATGGCGAAGAGAGGGAGAGAGAGAGAGAGTATGGCCCGGGTTCATATTCAGTTTTCTTAGTTGACCCCGTACTGATGATAATTCAATTTCATCTGCAATGCGATTGACATGTACAAATAAAAAAAAAAGTACCACGGTGTCACTTATTGTCAACAAAATTGTTCAAATAGCATTGCAGAGACGATGAACAAATAAGAATAATAATACAACGGCGTGAATCGTAAGAAAGTTCACTTCTATCTCTCTCTCTCTCTGCTATATAATCCGAACAATAGAATCAACAGAGTGGAGACAACTGACCCTGTCAAACGATTTTATTGTGAGTTCTGAAATATTACTTTGCTACTGCTTGTCTAAGTAGTATCAAAGAGCAATATTCAGAATGAATAAGAAATAATGCGATCATGCTGTAACAAGTTCATTTTCCCCATGTTTATCATCCAGTACTAAATAACCAAGGAAAGATCGAGCCATACGCAAAATTAGGGTAAAGAAAATTATTAAGATAAAGACAATAATTTATGACATTGTCTACTGTCATGATTGTATTCTCTACCCTTTTCTTCTTTATATTTTACTTTGTTTTAAAATAGATGTTCTAAATTAGAACAAAAAACATTAATAATGTTTTTTGTATTGATTAAATACATTTCTTTTTTTGGAGGGAGATTTTTGGAGAGAGGTTCAAAGAAAACAACTTCAGATTTGGCTGGATTGTGTGTAATGATAAAATAGAGGTCTGTAATAATTTTAGAGAAAACAGAATAGGTATTAGAAAGTTATGGCAATTTACGGTTTTAGGGGTCAATTTTTAAAGAATTTTAGCGATTTTTGACGGAGCCGGTTTCAGATTTGAATTTAGAGTGTGAAGATGGTAATTATCGTGACGGACAGGTTATACGTAACAGATAAAAGATAATATCTTGGACTATCTAGCGGAATCTGTTACAAGTCTGTAGCATCTACGATCTTGGAGATACGAAGGAATTATTAAAGGCCTTCTGTTCCACGTGGAGGCCGAGTCTTGGAGGAAATAAATCATTAGTTTGTAAGTAAAGAAGTAGTCATGTCTCATTGATGTATTCGGAAATTATCTCTTAACTTCAACTTAAATGTATATTAACAGTTTTCTTTCGGATACAGATCAAAGTGCATTAGATTTACGTACGTACATTAAACGACAATTATTATGTATAACAATTAGGGTCCCCCTTGCCATTTGTACCATTCTTAACATCTCATTGAATGATCTGCGATTACATAGTTTGGATATACGGTACGGTTTGTTATAAAGTGCGTCCTAGAAAAAAAGAAACCAACAATTGTCCATGTTTCATCATTACTCAATCACAATTATAATTAATAAATGACACGTATTTGTACAGCTTAGATCCTCCTCTTTCATTAATTTTGATGCAACTCATTGGCCCGAATTCACCAAGCAATGTTTGAGCTCAGACCAAGGTTTGAGCTCAAACCTCCTTTTGTTTCGCCAAACCTCCCTTTGTTATTTACAAACCAGGTTTGTAAATAACAAAAGGAGGTTTGGCAAAACAAAAGGAGGTTTGAGGTCAAACCTTGGTCTGAGCTCAAACCTTGCTTTGTGAATTCGGGCCACTATGATGCATTTTCACGCATGAGTGATTAAAAACAATTTGAAGAAAGGATACCAAAAAAGTCATATGGCGGACGGTATCTGAATATCAACTGGCTGTTTGCCCTAACAGCAAAGAAGACGAAAGACCTCATACATGGCTGGTCGTCAATGAAACGGAGTTTGTTGCTTTGTTACTATGTCAGGGTCAGAGACCAGAGACAGATCTTGCCGCTGTCCCTACCACGCTATTTTCCCATTAACTCTGCAATCCACTCCCATATTGTACTCGATCAAAATAATCACTATGAACATGACTGGCAATGAGAGCGGACAAAATATACAGTTCCTCAGGTAGACAAAGGAACATCCCTTACTGCTACTATGTAAAAATGTGTAGAACAGGTGTCACATGCATATATTCACCTTTTTACATAAAAGCTGTGAAGGGATGTTCCTTTGTCTACCTAGCTGAGGAACTGTATATTTTGTCCGCTCTCATTGTCAGTCATGTTCATAGTGAATGCAGATTTTCACATCCCATATGCAAGAACGTCTGTTTCTCAAAAGAACATTTACTATGCAGGTCCCAAACTATGGAATGCATTGCCTGCTAATCTGATATGCATGCTCTCAGAATGTATTCAAGACACAGTACAAAGAAAAGGCTTTCACAATCTTATTCACGTTGAGTCACCTGTTTTTTGTTTAATTCAATTTTATCGTTATATCGCTGGTTCGTATGGGTTTTATTCTGCTTGAGTCTAATTTCATTCGAAGTTAACAAAATTATTTTAAAAAAACGAAATTTCGTCATGACTTAATTTATAGTAACATGAATTACTCTATTTGACGTCGAAAGTCGTCAGAAACAATATTACAACATCCATCTCTATTTTGTATACAGTATTGATGTAACTAACAGAGTTGAAAGAAAGCAGTTTTCATTTACGCAAACTTAAAAAGGAAAGCCGAGTACTTCCACACTCATTAGCTTTAGGATGGCTATAGGATGACGAATTGTGTAAAATCACATGTCTGTATGATTGTCTATTATTTCCTGATAATTAATGAAACGTTACTTACGCTTTCCAGCTCGTTTAGCTAGCCAGTACACAGCCGCACTTCCAACACCTCCACATCCCACCACAATGTAATCAAACTCTTGAATTTTCGACATTTTTTTTTCTCGACAGTTTATTGGCGAGATGCTCTAGGGTTCTAATATCCTAACCGTTCGGTGTCAGTCGACCGAGTGATGCTTTTGTAATCGGCTTTATAAGTTCGGCGTTCTCATTGAAAGGCAGTTCGGAAAGCGCACATAGAGTGGCGCCCAAATCCGGGGTTGGGGAAATGGAGGGGCACAGTGCCCCCCCCCCCCCTCATATTTTCAATTCCCTAAAAAAAAAGTTAAAACAAATTATTTATAACTTTTGTTTAACTTTGGGAAGTGTCCATTTTTTATTTTGGAAAGTGCCTCTTTTTTAAATTCCGATAAGTGTTTTTTTATAAACTTCAGATAATTGTCACTTTTTCTTTATAATACGTTCCCTTTATCCGTTCTTATAAGCGCCCTTTTTTCTCTCTAATGAGTGCCTTTCCCCTTCTGATAAGTGTCCCGTTTCTTTTCTAATTAAGTGCCCCTTTTCATCTCTGATATGTGTCCCTTTTAATATGACCCCCCCCCCCCCCTTTATAAAGACAATCTGGCATTCCTCGAGTACATTTAACAATTATAAAAAAATCTAGCTTGTCAACGACCGTTTCGGGCAATTGTGCCTCGAGTCCATACTTTAATGAAACTTGAAACAAAAAAAACGATTATATGTCTGAACAAAATTCTGACCATGGACTTAATGCCCCCCCCCAAAAAAAAAAACAACAACAACAACAGCATATATATACACATATTAAAGTTGTTCTTGTTTTTTTATTTGTATTGTATTCAATCATTCTTTAGCAAGAACAAAGCAATAGATTTGAACAAAGTACATGTTAGAGGCATTTACACTGTCTTCCAAACACACCAAAAAATGCCAAACCGGAGCCTGACCGTGATGTTACTAAGGGCAACTACGCTTTACCGGCAGAAACGCCAAGCCCGAAACATTCCAAAACGAAGTGTGACCTTTTGGCGTGTTTTGGCGTGTTTTGGCGTGTTTGGCAAGTATAAACGCTCGCAGTTGTAACATCGCGATGTTAGGTCAAGGACTGTAACCAGGGGCGGCGATTTCTGTTAATGACCGGGGGGGGGACGAAATGCGAATTTTTTTACGAGGATTTTATGCGAGGGAGCGTAGCGACCGAGCGAGATTTTTTTTTCTTCAATTTTATTAGTCTAAACGCTGCACTCTTGGGCCTTCCAGAGCCTAAAAGTGTGTTGCAGTCATTATTCAGTATATGCTATACAATTTGTTTTGCACTTTTTCAAATTTCCAGGGGGGACGATCCCCCCTAAAAAAAATTGAGAGGGGGACGTGTCCCCCCCCCCCCCCCCGTCCCCCGGGATCGCCGCCCCTGACTGTGATCGTTAAAACAAACACCGTTACATCAGTTTAGGGACGTGATAGAGAAGGACTGCAATCCAGCCGCTGTCCTTTGACCCCATGCTCCAACTTAAAAGCCGCCTAAAAGTTATGCGCTAATCTGCAAATGTTGACCAGGTGAGATAAAAAAAGAGCACATGAAATTGTAGGATTTAGAATTCCTACTGAAGAAACAGTCAATGAAAAGTCGTAGTAGGGTTGACTTGCTAATTTATTCTATGTCAACTAATTCCATCACACTTGCTCCGTGAAAACTGTATGAACAAAACATGATAAAGAAAAAGAACAGATTATAAGTAATTGTTCATACAGGCATTTTCGAATACATGTGTATAAATAATATCATCAGTTCGCCTATTAAATGCAGTGATTAATAACAAATGAATTTCTTCTCTTTGTCTCTTATCATTTGTGTATATACAATTATCTATAAACAATACCTTCACTCAAGTCACGTGACCAATATTCGTGGTAGATAGTTTGAATCACAAAGACTTATTAGCATAACGCACATCAATGACTGCGTCCTTCTTATAGCGGACACGTCATTCGTATCGTTAATATCGTATACCTATTTACGTGCATACAATTAACATTGCCTTACGTAGCACCCTAGCTTACACTCTATATCGTATATATCGTATACCTGTTTTACGTGCATCTAATTTGCATATATATAACGTCCACTACAGCCGTATACGGTATCATACGTGTCCGTGCATACACTAATACTACACACACCATTCATTATCACTTAAGCATATTAGATTACATTCATATCATCATTTCTCATTATTTATACTATTTATACTCGTTATACATTAATATATCGAATTAACGAACCTTCTTGCCTCCTTATTGTTGCAAACGGGTTGGCTTCGTATCAATAACAGGTGTAATTTAGGACAAGATTTCGGTGCGAACATCCAATTCGTTGCTACTGCTATGTCGGAATTAGGAAAGCGTAGATGGCGCTATTTCAGCCCATGACGTAAGTCAGAATACTCCTTTTTGTCAGATAAACTTATACCCCATTCACAGTGGCCTCAAACACCGCGACAGCAGCGGGACTGTCCCGCTGCTGTCGCGGTGTTGTCTTCAGTGTGAAGGCTCGGACCCGTTATAAACTATCGCGGGATAACACCGCCTAGCGATAACGCCGACACAAACTATCGCTAGGGACGCCTAGCTACAGCAGCGGGACAGTCCCGCTGCTGTCGCGGTGTTTACTCAGTGTGAAGGCTCTCCGCTATAACACCGCGACAAACACGTGTGATTTGTTTACTTACCTATCACTGACCTCTTTTCTACAGCAATGGGGAACATAAAGTGAAATAGAAATAAAGTAACCTGTGGATTCAAATTGATTTTATTATTATGTAGGTATTATAATTATCCAAATAAAAATATTTCACACTTCAAAAAATTAAAATATTCTGACTGGAAGCAATAAAAATGCTAGTTTTTTAAAAAGTAATATGATCGAGGATACAAAAAGCAACTTGACATGTTTACCGCGCAATTTCAAGCAAGTATTTCCGGTCATATCGGGGTCACTCGCGGGTCATGAGCCATGCATACACGTGTTTGTTACGGAGGTAATAAAAATCACCCGCTGCAGCGTGAATGGGTACATGATATTTATCCCGCTGCTGCAGCGGGATAACTTTTCTACTGTGAATGCATTTGTAGCGGTGTTATGGCGGTGTCGCCGCTCCGCTACAACGCCGCTACAAATTTCAAAACCACTGTGAATGGGGTACGAGTTAAATTAAATTTAACCGCGAGTCTCAAACACCCAGACCTTGCAACTCACCATTTATGACTAGCAATTAGCTGTATTTGCAAGTACTGGATTTAGAAATCGAGAAAATAACCTGGATCAACTCTCAGTTCAAATACTCTGCATGAATTTACGTTGCAAAAGGGGGGTTTCAATTCAGGTTCACATCTAATGCTCATTCATGTATACAATACATACAAGCATAATGATGAAATTGAACTGAAATACCCTTTAAATACATTCTTATAAGTGCAATCACATTGTAATTTTTTGCAAGGTAATTAATGCGATAAAATGAGGTATATCAACTTAATTTCCGTTTTCTACAAATATAGTTGTCATATGCTCGATCTTCCAATTTGATAAGATTACATTTTTTCAAACAGAGAACAAAAAACAAACAGCAATAAAGGTCATTACAGCTCATTCGGAAATGTCGTCAATCCACAAAAAGAGTTCTTGTTGTTGTTCAATCAGATCAATTAGTTCAAGAGTTTACTCAGTTCAATTAGACTTCATTTCAGCTGATGTGCGTCTGTAGTTACAGTTCCAGCATAGTCTTTGTTACAGACCAATTACAGATATTCTTGGTTCTAAAACTTCAATTAGATTATTTGACTAGTCTTATTCTAGACTTTCAGATTTTGCGGGTAATTCGAATTTTGGATAGTCTTATGTTCAGACTTTTATATTTACTTAAATCTATCAAAACCTATTTGTGAGGGATATTAATTACCTTACAGTATTCAAGGCTCCTTGGTCGGGAATCCGTCCTGGTCTTCACGCGGAAGCAGCAAAACCAGTTTGTGTATCGGACGCTCTAGTTCTTTCACAGGTCCTTTACGCTTACCGCTGTCGTCAAGTTCGGAGTCACCCTTTACGAGCTTCACTTTACGAATGAGTCCATCGGTAGAAGGAAAGACCTCGCTTATCCTTGCTAGGGACCATTGATTTCGTGGCAAGTTCTCGTCTTTCATGATGACGATATCCCCAATCTTAGCATCCCGTCGGGGCCGAGTCCATTTCTGGCGTGTCTGTAAGTTCTGGAGAAACTCCTTTCTCCAACGATCCCAGAACTCGTTGATCAGATGTTGTACCCTCCTCCAACGCTTTCTGGAGTACAAATCAGCGTCCTGAAAATTGCCTGGTGGAGGAAGTAAGACTTTCGACTTCATGGTTATGAGATGATTTGGCGTAAGAGGAGCCAAATATGTTGGGTCGTTCAGGTCAGTCACAGTCAGCGGCCTGCTATTGACAATTGCAGCCGCTTCATACATCAGTGTTCTCAGTGATTCATCATTGAGTTGTCTACTCGATTGATACAGCAAAGTTTCAAGCACTCTCCTGGCAGATCTTATTTGGCGCTCCCATACTCCACCCATATGGCTTGCCGCGGGGACGTTGAAAGTGAACTGTACGTAGTCACATCCTTCTTTCATTAGAGTGCCTTTGACATGTTCGTGATTCATTTCTGACCACGCTTTCCTTAACTCTGCTTCTGCGCCAACGAAGTTCGTTCCCCTGTCGCATCTCAGTTGACGTATTGGACCCCTCAGAGCAGCAAAGCGACGATATCCCTGAATGAATGAGTCTGTAGTCAGACTATTGAGTGTCTCAATATGCACGGCTCTCGAAGGCATGCATGTGAAGAGGAGTCCATATCGCTTCATCTCCTTTCTACCTTCCTTTATCACCCATGGGCCAAAGCAGTCGATGCCACAGTAAGTGAAAGGTGCTGCAGGTAACACACGGTCAGACGGTAGATCAGACATCTTCTGTAATTGTGCGGGACTACGTAGCCTATTGCATATGACACATTTTCGTATGAAATTGGCCACTCGATTACTGCTTCCAAGAACCCAAAATCCATTCTCTCTTATCTGGTTCAATGTCATGCCTCTTCCTTGATGAGCAGTCAACTCATGACAGTGACGTATCACAAGGTCCGTTACGTGGCTTCTTTGTGGGAGAATCAGGGGATGCTTTCTGTCATATGAGTCGTCTCCCCTTCGAATTCTTCCTCCAACTCTTAGAATTCCCTTTTTATCCCGGAAAGTGTCAAGTCCATGGAGACGACTTTCTTTCTTTATTTGACGTCTTCTCTGCCTGTCATTCAGATCCTGTTTCCTCTGGATTGACTTCAGGATTTCTATTTCTTCCCCAAAGGCTTCACTCTGGACGTGTCTCAGTATCTCAGTTTCTGCCTGTTGTAGATTCTGCACCGAGACTTTGCCTTGGGAAGTTGAGTCATCATTTGCCTGTCTTGTACGTTTTCTTTGACAACGTTGTTTCAGTCTTGTGATGAACAGCAGACAATAAGCCAACGCCCTCTTTGCTCTATACCATGTCGGGAATCGGTCTAGGCGACTCAGATCAAACTTGGAGTCACCCATTACAGTCGCGTTCACCATAGACTTCTTCACCTCGGGGTCACCTGGTGAAACCTCGAATTCCTCCTGATCATCAGCGCGAGGAACCGTCTCTTCCCATAGAAAATCTGGGCCAGTGAACCAGTTCGAAGTGATGAGTTGGTCAACGGTAAACCCTCTGGAAGCTCCATCTGCTGGATTGTCCTGTGTTCGAACGTGCTTCCACTGCGATGATTCTGAGTGTTGTCTGATCTCACAGATCCTATTTGCTACGAACACATGGAACCGCTTCGATTCATTGTTTATGTATCCAAGTACCACATTGCTGTCTGTCCAGTAGATATGCTCAATGTCCTCCAAGGCTAACTCTCGCTGAAGAAATGTGCTCAACCTAATGGAAACAACGGCAGCTGATAGTTCCAAACGGGGTATTGTTACTGCCTTGAGCGGGGCAATCCTGGACTTTGCCATCACCAGGATACAGTGGACTCTTCCCTCTCCATTCTTAATTCTCATGTATGAGCATTGGCCGTATCCCTCGGAACTAGCATCGGAGAAGTGGTGCATCTGCATGGTCGTAACCTCACCGAAGTCTGCAGGTTTGTAGCATCTCTGTATTGATAGGGAGTCAAGATTATGCAGATCAGTTGTCCATTTCTCCCATCTTTCTCTGAGATGATCTGGCAGGGGGTCGTCCCAATCAGCAGACATCTTACACAGCTCTTGCAGAATCTGCTTACCAGGTAAGACAATCGGGGCTAGTAATCCCATAGGGTCATAGATCGACATCACGGTTGACAGTATTCCGCGCCTGGTTAGAGGTCTGTCATCGAGTGTGACTCTGAATTGGAACGTGTCAGATTCCACACACCATTGCACCCCAAGTGCCTTCTGCAAAGGAAGCTTATCCTGTAAGAGATTAGTCTTGGTAGTGCCCTTTGCTCTATCCTCTTCCGGAACTGTTTCCAGCACTTCTTGGGTGTTTGAGATGAATTTGTGCAAGTGGAGGCCTCCTTTCTTGCACATCTCTCTGGTTCTCGAGATCAGATTCTTGGCCTCTTCTTTGGTAGGAACAGATATTAGCCCATCGTCCACGTAGAAGTTATGATGTACAAAGTTCTTTACATCCTCTCCAAATTCAATAGCATGGTCGCTGGCAATCTGTTTCAAACAAAAGTTTGAGCATCCTGGAGACGACGTCGCCCCAAACAAATGGACAGTCATTCTTAGCTCATGGGGCTGTTGCAGAAAGTCTCCATCCTTCCACCACAAATACCGTAGGTATTTCCTATGATCTTCCTTCACCTTGAATTGGTAGAACATCTCACGTATATCGCAACAAAATGCGATTGGTTCCAGTCTGAACCTGCAAAGTACTCCCACTAGTGTGTTAGTCAGATCTGGTCCAGAAAGAAGCTGCTTGTTGAGAGATTCCTTTCCAAATTCTGCACTGCAATCAAACACAACTCGTAACTTGTTGGGTTGTACTACCCCATGATGGGGAATGTACCATGCTTGGCCGTTCTGCTTGTCATATTCTGGTACACTTTCAGCATATCCTTTCTCCAAGAGAGCATCCATCTTTTCCGAGTATTTCTGATGATACTCAGAGTCTCTTTGAAACTTTCTCTTTAGATGACTCAATCTCCTTTCCGCCATGAATCTGTTGTTGGGAAGGTTGACGACATCTTCTTTAAAGGGAAGAGGAGTCTCGTAATGACCATCATCTGTGATATGGACATTCTCCGACATGATTCTCATAAATCTTGTATCATGTTGCGAAAATGGTACCTCACTTCTGCTCTCTGAGAAATCTCTTTCCATCAGCTTCAGCACAGACGAAGGGCTGATCTCTTCTTTGATTGT